TGAAGAGATTTCAAGGTTTGATAGGTTGTTTTTGGATTTGAAATTCTGCCGGTTTGAGGGCTCGGTTTCAGCCACTTCCAGTCACTTTTTAGCCTTAGTCGAAGAACAAAATTGGTTCCAAATTAGGTGTTTTACCTAGGCTAGGAGTTTGGGCCGACGGTTTGGAGAAAATCCGGCCACCGGAAATTGTTGTGCACACCCACACGCTGCCGGCGCATGGGCCAGGTAGCAGGGATCACCCTTGGTCCTAGAACGATCCTCGTGTCCCCACGAGTGCGTAGGATTTCACGGATCCCAGTTCGGATAACGTTTGGACCCCGAACGGATCTCGCAAAATGTGCAATTTTCGGGTTCAATACGTTCAGACCGTCGGATCGTAGTCAAACTGGAGTATGTTGATCTAAGTAATTTCAGGATCGTGCAGGATTCGACGGATCGTGAATCGGAGTCCAGGATACTCTGAAAAGGCCAACCCTAGGGTTAGGGTTTTGGAAAATCATTCGTCTGTCTGATCGTGCGATCGTGAGCAATCCGACCGTGCGATCGAGACCAACCTTTCAGGACTTGTGTCCTAGGCACAGTGGAACCTTTAGGAACGTTCGGATCGGAATTCTGAGTTTGTGGACCCCACAAGGTCCCGAGTTGACTGTTTGGGACTTTATTGTTTTGAGTCCCGAGTTACCTCCAAACCATGTCCACTGAGAGGAAACCTAGTGTGGGCATATGAATGACCTTTAAAATTGATGCACGCACTTTTAGGAACCGGGGGTCAGGGTTTTAATTTATTATTTTATTATTGAGCAGAGTTATTAATAAAATATTATGATGGATATTCAGGCACCCGGGCACCAGTTGACCCACAGGGGGGACCTTCAAAAGGGTCCAGCTAGCTCAGAGCATTTGTGAGTGGACTGTTTGTTTTATAAATGATTTTATACAATTTAATTTCATTATTTGATCTTGAATAAGTTTTACTGAATACGGCTTTCCTAGCATGACTTGATAGATTTAAATATTTCTATTTATTTATGTGCTGCCTAGTGGAACATTTAAAAAGGGATTTGGAAAGTCAGAACTGAGGTATTATTGGATTTAATGGCATTAGGATTTAAGGAATGGTTTTATAAGTGGTTTTATAAACTTCAATCTTTTTCAAAATCACATATATATATATATATATATATATTCTAAACCACCATAGGTACCCAAGGTTGCCTTCGATAATATGTTGCCTTCGGACTTTAAATGGTTGCCTTTGGTTATAACGATGTCTACGGACATCCAGTTGCCTTTGGTTATAATGATGTCGACGGACATCCAATTGCCTTCGGGTAGGTCAGCATGCTTGACACAGCCCCACGAGTCTCGAGGACGCTCGAACCATGTGGTGCTAGGAGTGCAGCTCAAGTGGGCCAAGTGTTCTCCGAGTCTAGCTAGGATTGCGGATCAGGGCGACCAAGTGTCCCCTGAATTCTGCTAGGATTGCGGCTCGGGTTGACTTTGTGTTTCCCGAGGTCTGCTAGGACGTGTCACTCCG